ACGTTTGTAGTATCCAGAGAAAAGTGTCTTTCCCCGAATGCAGATTTCACCACGTGGGGTTCTTGCAAGAGCATCGTATTCCATTTCGGGGACAGATTCAAGGCGTATATCCACATTTGGCACGGGTGGACCAACTGTGCCAACCATGTCCAATTCGTCTGGCAGCGAGACAAAAGTTCCAGCACAGCTTTCAGTTAGACCTACACAAGGTACAATCATAGAATAAGAAACAGTCAAGTGAATCACATTCTCTGTTGGTGTGGGATCAACATACAGTACTACTCTAGTACAGACTTAAGACTTTGATTGCAAACAATATAGGTGGCCGTGTTAACCTGCCTAAATCACCTACCTCTACACTGAAACTGATAACCACACTAGACCTGAACAAATTGCATTAACCCCAAGAAGAAACCCACCTCTAAACCTAACTGTTAAAAGTAAGACAAAATCGTTTACAACAAAATTTCTATTTGGTCCATGTTCATTCATACTGATACATCAGAAAATCAATATTCAACGACGTAGTCTTTCGCTGTTTCTGGGTTTAGCATGAAGTTTCACTCTACCACATTGGTAAGAACAGTCTCTAAATTTCAATTTATTTGGTAAAGACCCATGGGACGACTCAGTTAAGAAAATAACACAGAAAAAGAAGTCCAATTGTTTCTCACATTCTAGGTGGTTGAACGTAAGATACTGACTTTATGGAAAATGGCTCGTTTATACAGATTATTTGGATCTAAAGAAGTCAATATTATAAATGGGTACCGTATCCTTGTAGAACATGACAGCACGCCACAACTCTTAGAAATGATTCTACGTGAGTAGCGAGAGGAGCAGCTCCAGATAGAATAATCCTCACATTGCCTCCGAGCCCTTGTTTAACCTGAGTGAGAAAGAAAGGGAATTACTTGCTATGAAGTTTCATAGCGAAGAGTGATAGGCTCTTCAAATATTTTGTCGTGAGCTGAAGAACTTTGCTACCTTGCTGAACACAAGTTTGTCACAAATTGGAGAGGCCTCCACATGAGACTGTCCCTTCTTCATGTGTCCAAATTTACTGCGGATGTTTGAGTTTTAGATCTAATACCTTAAAGACTAGTGAAACAGAGAAGCAAAGTGAACGCTGACTTACTAGGAAAATGCAGAATCAAACATGAATTTTTTCAAGATTCCTCCAGCAGAAAGCTTCTGCTGAAGACCTGTTGGATTTATAACAGGTCAACTTAATGAAACACGGATAAGTAGGTGAAAAGAAGAAACCATGTATATCATCAGTGATATGAAGTCGAATTGATCATTAGAAAGGAACTAAGCATAACATAATGGGAAAATGAGACATCCACCAAAGGAGAAAATTTGACAGCCTATCATAAATACTCTTGTATCATTAAAAATAATGTTTACATTTGGTATATGTCATTATCAGCTAGTAATAGTTTTATGCAGTGTGTTATGTGGTGCAAATGTAAAACCTCAGATGCAGTTATTTGGGATAAACAGATGATACACAGATAAAAATTCGATAAAGTGGGGAATTATATATACTTGGACATACGAGTTTTCGAAAATCTTACCTGAGTAAACTCTATCTAGGACACGAGGTACAGCACAGAAAATTGTTGGTTTAAGCTCACCAAGGTCTTCTATCAACATTTTGATATCCTGAGAAGATACCCCGGAGAAAGTTAAAGTAACAAATTCAAAACTGGTTCAAATAATAAGCTTTGAGCTGTACTGAGTACTGACCCCACGCCAGAAGCCAATTGCAGCACCGTGTTGAATAAAACACTCCTCGATAACTCGGTCAAAGATGTGTGCAAGAGGAAGATAAGAAAGATACACATCTTTCACAGTCAACTTTTGATTTGAAAAGCCAAAAAGAATATCGATTAAGACCAGAGGCAAGGCAAGTACAAGAAAAACTAAAGATTGCAACTTCTTGTAAATAATGACATATGCGTGAAAACAAGAAGGAAACTCACCCCTTCATTAGCGCTTTTCAGTAGACGGATCACACCAGCGATAAGAGTAACAATGCTTTCGTTAGAAATCATCACTCCCTTTGGATCACCAGTGGTTCCACTAGTATACATAATCGTGCAAATGTCACTTTTTGTTTTGATGGGGAGTTCGTGTTGCTTTCCTTCGCCCTGGCAGAAATATTCGCAATTAAAAGTAAAGACATGGCAAGTAGTTAGTAGACCGGTGGAAAGAAATATCACAGAATCAGTAAATTTCAGGAAAAGCAAATGACAGTCTCATACCAGCTTCAAAAATTCATGCCAAGCGTATATAACCAACCCAAAATTTTCAGCTTGTTCTTTTTGTTCAGATGTGACACTACCAAAGCTCACAACGGCTGTAATTATAATCAGGCACAATTGATCATTAGCATAATATGTTAAAAGGCCAAAAGGGCTGAACACAAATAAGAGTTACTCACTCTTCATGTACTCTGTTGCGTTTGGGCATGTCTTAAATAACTGATAATCAAAAGGAAAAGGAAGTGATGAGATAAAGTTCCACAAATAGTAAAATTACTTAACGGTCATCAATACACAAAAGTGATAAATACATATTTAACATTGAAGATAAACTACTCTCACTGTACCTCATCGATCTTCTTCTCCTCCACAAAGACAATTGAAACCTCTGAATGGGAAATGATGAATTCCACAGCACCAGCACCTATACAATTAACAGGCAACAAAAATAACATATCAACTAGCTAAAATATGTGTCAACCCACTAGAAATCGATTGGTGCATCTATCCTTCTAGTATATATATTGGAAAATACTGAAAAGGCATACCTAGTGTATCGTATAACGGGACACAATAGAGTCCATGTGCATTACAGGCCTACATCAAAAGAGCAGCGTCAGTCATCTAACAAAATCGCGATCGTTGATATTATCATGATTAAACTGCCAGATTTACCTCCATGCTTATGATCCACTCAGGAGAATTGGCACCATAGATACCACATTTTGCTTTCTAAACTCACACAAGATAAATTAACCCAACAATAACATTCCGACGACAAAAAAGAAGAAACTAATGAGACTGGAGATGGATATTAACCTCCTTAACTCCGCAACTACGAAGAGAATTTCCAAGTTTTATGACAATGTCGTAGACTTCTTGGTATGTTTGCCACACATATTTACCCGCCTGAGAAGAACGAAATACAAGTGAATAAAAAACCTGTGATAACTCGAATCGAAATCACAAAAATCAAAAACGCCAAGTGATAGTAACAACACCTTTCCATCGACAATCTCACGGCGTCCCAGCATTGGATTGTTTGGATATTTCTCAACAGCCATACTGCAAAACAATAAAGCACAGTAGACAAATGAATGCATAAGAAACAAAATACTCAGAAAAAAAAGGCGAAATCGTTAACCAACAAATTGTAATTTCTATCAATTTCGAGCTCTTGTGCATGATACTAACGTAGATCTAGTGAGATTGTTCATACTACTTTGAACATTTAAAAACAAAACAAACAAAAAACTGCAAGTCAGAAGAAATTCCACGATCAGTCAACAGTCAAGTTTAGATCGCGGATCAAAATCTCATCACGAATCGGAAAAGTAGACTCATGCAAAACAAACTCCGATCGATTAAAAAGTAGCGAAGAAAATCTCACCGGAAAACATCCCAACAACTATCCATTCCTTCGATCGGTTCGGGGAATCCGTCTTTGGCGAAGATACTCCGGAACACAGGTCCAACTGAAGGTCTACCATCGCTACCTTCTTTACCTTCTTCGACCTGGTAGATGAATTTCTTCTGCTGCGACATGATCGATCTCTCTCTCTCTAAAACCTGAAATT